TGGGAGGGACCTAACAGAAGCAGAAGACATCAAGAAGAGGTGGCAAGAATACACAGAGGAATTATATCAGAAAGATTTGGATATCCCAGAAAACCCAGACAATGTAGTTGCTGACCTTGAGCCAGACATCCTGGAGAGTGAAGTCAAGTGGGCCTTAGAAAGCCTGGCTAACAACAAGGCCAGTGGAGGTGATGACATTCCAGTTGAACTACTGTATTTAAAATCGTAAAAGATGATGCTGTTAAGGTGCTACATTCAATATGCCAGCAAGTTTGAAAAATTCAACAGTGGCCAGAGGATTGGAAAAGATCAGTCAACATCCCAATCCCAAAGAAAGGCAGTGCCAAGGAATGCTCCAACTACCGTACAATTGCACTCATTTCACAAGCTAGCAAGGTTATGCTCAAAATCCTACAAGGTAGGCTTCAGCAGTATGTGGACCGAGAACTCCCAGAAGTACAAGCTGGATTTCGAGGGGCAGAGGAACTAGAGACCAAATTGCTAACATGCGCTGGATTATGGAGAAAGCCAGAGAGTTCCAGAAAAATATCTACTTTTGCTTTATTGACTATGCAAAAGTCTTTGACTGTGTGGACCACAGCAAACTATAGCAAGTCCTTAAAGAAATGGGAGTGCCTGACCACCTTGACTATCTCCTGAGAAACCTATATGTGGGACAGGAAGCAACAGAACTGGATATGGAACAACTAATTGGTTGTCCAGGTTTTTACACTTCAAAAATAACACACAGGATTCCACATACAGGTCGAGGAGAGCTAGCACCACAGGCGGCTCATATAGGGTCCTCTCTTTTTATTGTAGCTTCCACTTCTATTTCAGCCCCAAAATCCAGCTTTAACCAGCAACAGAGGCAGCAACAGAGAAGACCTGCATTTCTACCACTGTCATGTCTTTCAACATTCTCCTTTCCCATCCATTTCAACACTCCAGAAGAGACAAAATTTCTGGTTTTGAGCAGGATCAATGAAATTTCAGAAGCAGTAGTCAGTAAAATTCTACTTTCAGATATCATCAATATTAAATTGCAAAGTACATGGTGTATATCATAAGCAGTTTTTGTAATATATTTGTACAATAACTAGATCAGTATTATTAACCCATGTGAAACAGCCACTCCCACTCTTCTGCTTTTTATTTAAACATAATGTAATTGCGCCTTAATGCAATACAGTACTTGGTTCATGGGCTCATTTAATTCAATTAATTCTTTATTATTGTCCAACTGGAGAAGCAGTTGGAGGGAGTATTAACAGACAAAAGAGTACCAATCCACCCCAGTAAATAATCATATGGGGTCAGAAGAAGAAATGATTTATCCCCTGCTCTCTAAGTAATAATAATTTATCCTACAAAAACACACACACACACACACACACACACACACACACACACACACCTTAAGTTTTAGCTAAAAGGTGAAAAGAGCACAAACACTGGTAGTACAGCCCATTTGAGGTAACAATGTTACTAGTTGAAGTTAAGAGTAACAGAGTAGAAGATCAGAAGATTATGTACAGTAGTACATCACAAAAAACCATCTATCGAAGCTTAATTGCCACCCACATATGAATTATGAAATTAACACAAATCTGCCCATAACACAACAGTCCCTCTACCAGGAGAAAGGTGGCATAGAAATGAATAAATAAATAAACATTTACAAGCTCTATCGTTCATCATTATTACATTTTTCCAGGAAAACACTCATGTGAGCGGATAGGTACAATTATCTGTGCCTCTTTACAAACCCAAGAACTTAATACACTTCCACCATCACCACCACTGAACATCCATGTGGCATGACTTGTATATTTTTTCCTTCATTCATATAATGTTTAAGATAAGCAAAAGGGTGAAATATATGTTAACAAGCATGAGACTACTCAGAAGATCAAAGTCTGCCTTGGCTTACATTATATATTCCTTGAAATATTAAAGACCGAAAGTATGAATTTTTAAAGAATTGTTACTTAAAGTATAAGCTGTGATTCAGATAAGATGATCTATATAGAAAAGCATCTTCCATGTATAGATCTCTTTCTCCAACCTGGGAATGGCAAGTGAATACTAGATTTCTGCCTAGATCCTGAGTCTATTGGCTTATTGATTGCTTTCAAAGGTATGCATGCACATTGCTTTCAGAGACGTCAGTGCACATGCAGAAACACCACACACACAGTGTGGTGGAAGTAGTTTGATATAATTCCACACAAATAAAATAAGAGCAACACAATAGCATTTTTTCCCTAAATATCCAAGTGTGAGAGCAAGATTATACACTTTAGTTAAGCTTCTCAAAGATTACAAGTAGCTTGGTTCCTATACTAATCCAGAATGGTCATTATTTTAGGCCAGGTTCACACAGGTGTGTACATCACTATTTCTCTACATTTGATTAATGCATACTGAACTGATGACTAGAAACTGAACATGTGAGTTGACTGTACATAAAAGCCTTATATTGGAAGTAACATTAATGAGTTGTAGAAGTGGAGGAATTCTATTCATGGTGATGCAGCTATCAAGTGATGGAGGAATCGGTTCTACTTTCATTTTACCGGTCCAACAGAATTTCCTAAATTCTTTAGATGTCCTCATGTGGTTTCAGTGTAACCATATGAAAAAATATTGCCCGTTTATCTGCATTTTAGATTATCAGAATGTTTCAAATGGTTCAAAGGCTTTTTAATCTAGGCTTTTCTGTATCTGATATATGAAGGTGAAAATGTTGCACAGCTGGCCAACTTTTTATTATGAAAGTCTCATTTCTAAGTCATCCATTAATATAATTCATAACAAGAGTAATAATCTACTGGCAGGTACATTGTTTATGCTCATCTTATTACATGCTGAACAGAAAAAAGAACCATGTAACTAAACAGAAAAAAGAACCATGGCTACATTATTTTGATTAAATCTCACATTTATCAGTATTGTATGTAGATAATTAATTAATATTCTTAGTTTGACTAAAGTTTAATATAGCTATTAATAGAGCTATAGAAATTCCACATAGAGGCAGCTCTTCCCTGTTTTCCTTTGTCAAGGAGAAGTGGAAAATGCATTGTGTAGATTCTGCTCTGTAGAATAAGACCTTTAAATGAAGGCAGTCAGCTCAAAAACGAACAGAACCTGGTACAGGGAACTGTATGACCCTAGATGACCATATGCAGGAGTTGCTGATTTGCAAGAATTTTAGCCAACTGCCCAGTGCAGAATGTGAGGAGGCTATGCTCATCACTCAAGTCAAATTTGGATATGGAAACTTAACACCTAGCTTTTCAGTAGGCAATCCTTACAGCAGGGTTATCTTGGAAATGATCTTGAGGCTCAAGTATTACATAAGAAAATGCTGCCACCTTCAGGAAAGGTCTAACACTGAATCAGCATTTATTTGCCGCAAACAGGTTTGCTTGAATTGTGGCCAGAAAGCAAGCGCAAAACAATAAAGCCTCCAGTGTGCCCACAAGTAAGCCACCAAATAAGAACAGTCCTCTTGAATGAGACTATATATTTTTTTTAAAAAAAGCCGAAGGACCTAAGGCTTTATCTGCTCGGAGTTCTGCAATGGTCCGGAAGCCTCTCCGGTTTCTGCCACCCTCTCCAAGTACACAGTTGTGTTACCCAGCATTTACAGGAAGAATTATGCATGGCAGACATACGACGAAGACGACAGCGAGGGAGGAAACTGCAAAATTAACTCTTTCGGGGCTCGCGCCGATTGGATTTCACAACGGGGGGGGGGGTTTGAAGCTGCCAGCCAAATGCTCGTCTGCTTTCCTTCTTAGCTTCCCTTCCGCCGCCCCCCAACACACACACACACACACACCGACAGGCGCGCGCGCATGTCCCCTGCCTCGGCTCCCCTCTTTGCATTGTGTGCCCGGGCACGAAGGTGCACTCGCTACCCAGCCGGCGCTCGAAGGAGAGGCGAGCGGGGCAGGCAGGAGGGCAAGGGCGCGGGGGTGCCAAGAGGGGCATCGTGCTCGCTGAGGGTTACGGCGGCGGCGGCGGCTCCTGGAGAGCCGGAAACGTCAGCATCCTTTTCTCGCCTCCAGTTGGGCGCACATGCTTTCGGGTGGAAGGGACACCACAGCGCTCCACCGGCCCCGGCCGCCCTCTCTTGCCTCCTTCTGCCCTGCTACCAAGCCTAGAAATCCGACCAGCCTCCTGCTCGCCCTTCAGGAAGGAGTTCACAGCCAGCATCAAGTGGCGCTCCAAGTACGCAAACGTTGCAGCTCGGCTCGGCTATGCGGGTGGCCCGGCGCCTGCTCCGAGCTCGCCGACCACAAATCCCTGACGTGCAGCTGTTGCTTAAATACCGGGCGGCGCTTTCTCGGCACCGCTGGAGCTGCCGGTTTTAGCCCAGGCTCGGCTGGGCCAGGAAACAGGCTGCAAATCCGAAACATCTCTCTCTCTCTCTCTCTCTCTCTCTCTCCCTCCTGTGGCATACGGGAAGCAAGGCCACCAAGCGTCTCCACTGGGTAGGAAAACCTCAAACGAGAATCAGGGCGACTCCGCTGAAAACGCCCGGCATCTCGACCAAGTACCTTTTATACTTCGTTTCCGTTCAAGGCCAACCTTTGCTTCTGCACATCGATACAAAAAAGGCGCCCACGAGCACAACCCGGAGTGACTCTCTTTTAAACAGCTGGAAGCTGGCTTTCAGCATGCATTTCCCTTCCCCTTTTCGACATGCAGCGTTTCTACCCGAAGCCTCTCGCCGCCGCTTGTAGGTTAGCATCCTCTC